CTCTGTTACAGGACACATGGAGGCTGCCATCACCCAACGTCCAAGACACAAGCTCACAGAGACAGGAAGACAGGTGAATTTGAGCTGTCGCCAGAATGACAACCATGACTACATGTACTGGTATCGACAAGACCCTGGGCTTGGGTTGAGGCTGCTCTATTACTCAAATAGAGAGAGGAACACTGTAAAAGGAGACATCCCGGATAGGTACAGCGTGTCCAGACCACGCACGGAGGAGTTCTCCCTCACTGTGGACTCAGCCACCCCCTCCTACACAGCTGTGTACTGGTGTGCCAGCAGTTTCCCCACAGTGCTGTGCGGCTGCCTCCTCTCTGCACAGAAAGTGTGAGGGGAGACGGAGGGCATCTGCTCGCCCCTTTGAAGTCTCCAGTCTCAACAGCAGTGTGTGCCAACTCGTTCCTTCTCAGCCCCTATCAGACCAGAGCTTGGGGGCCACAGGGTAGAGATGTCCTTGCTTCAACATGTGTGTACCCTGGTGGTGCAATTACTTATTCTGGATGACAGCGGTCATTGAATTAGCATTAAATCAAATTTAATCTTCAACAGTGTCAGGAAGATGCTGGTGGTAGACTGGGATTTTCTGGATGGAAGATATATAACAGAGTTATCACTAGCCTTTAGGATTTATTTTTTGTATTACTGAGTTTCCCATCACTATGACAGTAATCCCAAGGGGAAAATGTTTATTTATTTGAGTCACAATTTTAGGCAATTTAGTCAGAGTTCACTTGGCTGTGTTGTTTCCACTAGACAAGTTGGGCATCATCATGGGGAGAACATAGCATAGCAGAGTTGATTGCTCCAAAGCAGCCTGGCAGCAAAGATGGAGGGAGCAAAAATGAGGGGAGAGGAAGAACATAGACAGCAAGCAAGCAAGTATGAAAGAAAGAAATGAAGGAAAGAAAAGAGGATAGAAAAAATGGAAGGAAGGAACGAATGAAGGATGGAAAGAAGGAAGGAAGAAAGGACGGACACAAGGAAGGAAAAGGAAGGGAAGGAGTACTAGACAAATACATGTACAGAAGACAGAGAGAGGGAGAGAGAGACTGAGATACACAGAGAGAGAATAAGCACAAGCATGCACATGATTTCGGACATGTCCCAGGGAGCTACTTCCTCCAACTAGGTTCCCAATAGTCATCATCCTCTGTTTTCTCCATCCCTCACTACTTCATTCAGATCAGAAAACATCAGTACAATAATCCATGAAGGAAACTGGAGCCCCAGTGATGGAACCCCAAAGTCCTGCTTCTGATCACTGCCTGCATACTGGACCACATTCTTGAGTGCTGATGCAACACTGCACCTCTAAACTATAACAACATTTCTGAGCTGTTTTCTTTCTGTAGCATCGCTCACCTCCTCTAATAAATTTGGCAGAGAATTCTTATCACTAGATAACTGAAAACAGCCCATGAGATCCTGGGTAGTTACACGGCAGAGGGAAGCTCACTAGCTGATAGCTTGAATTTCAGTTGCTTTGGTAGAGGCAAGAAGAAATATCCAGGAGATCTGAAATGTGGAGGGAGCCTCAACTCCTAAATGTTGGAACAGTACGTGCCTTTCCATAGGCCATGACTGCACAGCCTCAAGAGCTCTCTGGGCTTGCAGCTATTGGACAGGAAGACAGAGGCCTCCCTGGAGATGTGACATAGCATCGCGGTGGGGGCTGCTGGGTGGGGACACAGAAGCTCCTCCTCTGCTGCATTCTGCAGGACAGAGAGCTGGGAGCACCTCCTGCACTGCCTCACCATGGGCACCAGCCTGCCGTCCTGCGTGTCCCTGTGTCTCCTGGGGATGGGTGAGTCCTCACATCCCCACCATCTCCTTGTCACATCCCCCCAAGGTCTTCTCCACTGTTTCCACCTGGATTCTTTGTCTTTCCCTCCACAGCACTCACAGAAGCTGGGGTCACTCAGTCTCCCAGATACAAGGTCACAGAGAAAAGCCAAGCTGTGTCTCTTTGGTGTGACCCAGTTTCTGGTCACAATGCCCTCTTCTAGTATAGACAGACCCCGGGACAGAGCCCAGAGAGGCTGCTTTATTTTCAGAACAAGGCTATGAGTGAGGACTCCCAGTTGCCCAAAGATCGGTTTTCTGCACAGAGGCCTGAAGGTGCAGACTCCACCCTGAAGATTCAGCCTGCACAGCTGGAGGACTCAGCGGTGTATCTCTGTGCCAGCAGCTTAGACACAGCCAGGCAGGGACCGTTTCCTGCTGTGCACAAAGCTCTGTGCTTGTCTGCCTCTGTGCAGCTCAGAGCTGCCCTGCACAGGGCCTGTGCTTTCCTCACCATCTGAGGAAGGAGGAGGAGGCCCGTCTTCAGATGGAGGCTTCACT